GAGGTCCTTCACAGTTGCCAAGATGGTAACTCAGGAGCAGAGCCTGTTAGAGACTTTGCTAAAGAGGCTGGATGAAGGCCTAGAAGAAGCAGACCATGTAGGAAGCTGTCCAGGGGAAAGTGAAGCAGGGGTGTTGAGTGAAAGGACAGTGACTGAGGGTCCCGGTTTAGGGACCCTGGGCTGGAATCCAGAGTGGAGGAAGGGTTTGTGCTCCTCCTACAGCTCCAAATGGCAGTGGTGGGTATAAAACCCTGCAGTGAGGGAAAAAGGGTGATTGACCCCGAGAAAGAGACCCTTGAGTGGGACCACCTGAACTTTTTAGAGCCTGAGAGGGTAGACAGGTACTTGTTTAGGCCAACTTTATTTGCCCCGGAACAGGAGGTCTTGCAACTTAATTTTAGGGCCACGTCACCCCCAATGCACCAAGATACTCTACCAGTAAGCAGTGACTGCGGACCTGTAGGGAAATGGGTCACGAAGTGGGAAAGTCAAAACATGATGTCACACCCACTTAAGGCAGGCATGGCAACTGTTAAGTGAGTATTGTTATGTGAGTGTTGGAGAGCAAATAGCCACTAATCCATTTTACATGTTGCTTATAGCATAGCAGAGGTATTCACTGAGGTTTGAAACACTTCAAACTATCCTCGAAGCATCATGATGCTAACTAACACCAAACTGCCTGAAAGCAATTTTTGTCTGTTTTTTTAAAGATGTATTTCCACTAAGAAAAAATAAATAAAGGAAAACTTACCCTGCTACTACAACTTGCTCTTGTTCAGCATGAGTCACAGGACAGTCAAAGCTAAAATATAATTCTGTTCTCTGATCTTCCAACTGAGTCTCTGTTGCAGAATGTAGCTTATAAATCCTCTGAATCCCTGCCATACCTAGCCATACCTAGTTGGATAAGTGAAGGATAGAGTTGCAGTTTCAATTTGAAAATTTCTTCCTTTTGTTAATTTAAGTCAAAACCAAACTGGACATTACTGTAGAACAGGTTTTATGGTTAAAACTTTCAAACCTGGGTCACTGAATTTAGACTCCTAAGGCCATATTTAGACACCTATGTATAAAAAGACCTGATCTTTCAGAAGAGCTGAGCACCCACAAACCCAGTGAAGTAGATGAGACCAGCAGATGCTGAGCACCTGAAAACTGGGCCTCTTATATTTAGTTGTTATGTTTAAAAATTGAGGACACATATATATTCCAACCATAACACTAACCACACTCTGTTATTATATATATTTATCTCTGCCCCCTCCACATAGCCTGTGTTTAAGAACATAGCTACAGTGTGCCATGTAACTCATTTGTCACCAACTTTTTTAATTGTTCACCCTTCCTAAATAAAGGCATTTCTGAATTCACTCTCTGTCTAATGTAATTATCAAATTCAGCAGCCAGCTGGTCACACAATCCTATTAAAATATCAGTAGGCTTCAGTGTTTTCAGGTAGTAATTGGAAACAGATGGGCAGCTCATGTCATTGGTGTTTTTATATAATCAGTAACATTTCTGTATAAGATGGGAATTCTAGGAGTGAACTGCATCTGCTTCAGCAGCCCAATATGCAATTACACTACGTAAATATTTATCCATGGTCTCTTTCATTCAGTCACTTGGGCCTCAATCCTCTAAGATAGTCAGAGCATCCTTTCAACACGCTCAGTTCCCTTTGCAGTCATCTCACAAGAGCCATTTAACACCTTGCAGGATCAGGGTCTGAGGGCCAAATACTAAGAGTTGTTATGTACCCTCAAAGGACACTGAAATCAACGGAAGCCGTGGTTTCGCAGTCGCTCTAAGGATGTGGCCTTTACTCTGCAATGGAATCATTTCAGAACTCAGATCTCAAGTAGTCATCTGTGAATGTAAAACAACTTGCTGCAGGAAGAGACTTATGAGGCTGACTGCCTATCTCTGCCATTAAAGATCACACGGAATTGAGTGAGCCCTGTATCATAATCCCCAAGCAGTGCTCAAAGCAGCAGGGGTATAAGTGCTTATACCACATCCCAAATCTCACTACTACCATCTGAAAGTCAGGGAAGGGGGAACTGAAGTATGCTTTCATGTTTTATGGCAGTAGTTCTCAAACTTTTGTACTGGTGACCCCTTTCACATAGCAAGCCTCTTTTTTAAAACACTTTCTTAATATATTTACCACCATTATAAATGCTGGAGGCAAAGCGGGGTTTAGGGTGGAGGCTGAAAGCTTGTGACCCCCCCATGTAAATAACCTCGCAACCTCTTTCGGGGTCCCGACCAGTAGCGTAGCTAGGGGGGGAGCGGGGGAGCAGCCGCTTCCCCGCCGAGCAGAAGTGGTGCCTTTTTAAGTCCTTGGTGCCTTTTCAATTTTTACTCACCCGGTGGTGCTCCGGGTCTTCAGTTGCGGGCCGGGGGAGTGGAGATAAGAAAAGGCACCACCCCCGGTACTCACTCACTTGCTCTGGTCTTCGGCAGCATTGAGGTGGCGGGGAGGACTCCCGACCCCCAGTTTGAGAACCCCTGTTTTATGGGGTGGAAAGGATTGGGTGGCATTGCTATCAAATTGTGTAATATTAAACTCTTAGTATAAATCTATAAATATTCATTTGCTGGTTATTATTCTGGGGCATCAGATGTATACTCCATATTTTAACAATGATCTCTGTCCCCCTCCCAGACTTAGTGCTATGTGCTAAATTCCCCAAACAGGACAGAGGGACAATCAGCAAATTAGTAATAAAAAATGTACCTTTTTTTAATCTCATTTGCAGGTCCTAAAGAGCAGACCTGCACTGAACACTAGTTTCTACTAGGTGTATTTCCCATCGTGCACTCTGGTGGCTACGTCTGTTCCACCATTAAAGAGAGTTGCCTACTGAATAAATAAAGTGGCTTTATCAGCCAAGACTGCATAAGGCATAGTTCCAAAAATGAACTCTTCTACAAGTGACATGCTGAGTCTGGGCTTTTCTTCAAATTCTTGCCCTTTTTATCATAGACCGTTTTCCTGTTATGGTACAGTTCTCAGAGCAATACTGGCAGACAAAGCTTCTTACGCCAGAACAGAGCTTCACTGCCAGCAGTTATTATGCCTAATGTTCTATTTGAAATAGGCCTGCCTCTGTGCTTCTAAAAAGGGGAAAGATTTACTTTGGGGCGTGCATACATTCAAATGTATTGTCACATACTTTCTTTAAAAGTTTTGAAGAGTTTTGAAAAATAGACAGATTAAGTAAACAGACCACGCTTTTCAAAAGTGGCGACTCAAATTAAATACCTAATTCCAGGGGAGTCTAGCACCCACATTTCATTAGGAGTGGTAAGTACTCACTACTTCTGAAAATCAAGCCACCTATATTAGGTGCCTACTTTTTAAAAAGTTTGATCATAATGTTTAAAGTGCAAATCTACTCTGAAAAGAGACGCTATAAAATAGCGCCATTGAACTTATCAGATCTGTGGTGTGCGTGTGTGTTCAGAGCAATTTCTGCTGATTTTAGTGACTCAAATGAGTTTTTATTGTTTACTTCTATGAGTGCTGTGGAATTAAGAGTGTGTTGCATTCTATTCCTTCCTGTATGTCAAACTGTTTATTAAGCTCCCACTGACAGCAACTGCGTTGCATGTGCATCATTGAGGACATAAATGGAAGACAATGAAGTTACATGAGTGTACCTGAAGGCATAATTTGGCCTGTAAAACCTCTATTGCAGTTGATGAAGCATGAAATGGACAGAACCCAGCTTAAGTTTATCATCCCAGAGTGAAGGGATGACACTTTAAAACAAAACCCCACTACGTTTACTGGTGAAATGAGCAAATTAGAGCTGAAGTCATTTAGACAATAAATATGAAACCCCACAAAGCTATTTTTACAAAGTCACATTTCAGAGTAGAACCACATTATCGTAAATTGGTAAAATGCAGAGAGAATAAAGACTGCTACAAACCACTCGAGTAAACTGCTAGGTTCAGGGTTCCAACCATCAACATGAATAGGAATAAGTTTGAAGTCCTGGAAGTGTAACTCCTTTATACTTTAGGCGGGATTAGCATTCTAAGATGGCCTATTTGAAATGATATTGTCAAGATATTTTAAGTCTTTACGTATGTTATTCATAATTGAAGATTATTCAAAGTGATAGAATTTGGAAAAAACAATTAATTTTTCACCAGGTATGCTGTTTTTTTACACTTTGCACTTGACTCAGATTGGACATTGGAGCAAGACAGCGGTCAGCTTTCCCTTCCAGTTCTTACACATATGGGCACAATGAAGTTGCTTTTGGGTTTCCCACTCTAGAGGAGAATGATTAAGTCCACGTATTCCAGGGCCTGACCCAAAGCCCATTAAAGTCAATGGAAAGATTCCTACTAATTTCAGTGGACTTGGGATCAGGTCTACAAACACCTCACACAGAGAATTTTTTTTAAAATCATGGATGAAAACATTTCAGTTCATATTAGACATCTAAAATCTCTCTAGCGTTTTTTTTCTTTCCCAAAATTGTGCCCTGGGCCAAAACGACTTTACTTTGAAAAATCAATTGCTAAACAGTCTTAGTAAAAGAAAACAGTGTCAATTTTGTGTGGTATGATATAGGACCTGACCAGCGTAGAAGCAGTATGGCAATTATTAACAATATATCATTATAAATGATACATAAATACCAAATAAATGAGAAGGTGGAGCTGGGGAAGGAGGGTAGAAACCACACACAGTTTGAAAGATGTGAAAGGCCTTTTAGAAGACTAAGAGAGAGGATCAAATATAGAGAAAATGATTTTTGGAAAGAAAACACTAAAGAGCTTTTAGAAAAGAAAATGAGAGTCAGAGAACCTCCAAGACAGAGAGAAGAAAAGAGGAAGGGTGAAGTTCTGGAGGAGGAGGAGAACAACAACATTTGACCCCAAAACGCAAAAGGCTGGTGTCTCACAGTGACTGGCCAGAGAGCATCCCTGAGAGATACCGAAAACCTCTAGCTAAACAGCTGATGAAAAATTACCTTCATTCCTGCCGCAGCTGCAGGGCCACTGGGATCCACAGCCTGAATATGGCATGGCTTGCTCCCCCGTACAACAAAGCCCCACCCAACAGCATCACCGACAACCTTGAAAAGGAAAAAAAGACACAACAGTGTCCATGTAACTCACAGGGTAAAGTCCAAGTGGTTGAAGACATGGTTTCAGCACCTTGTAGTCACCAGCATACAGTTAATGCTGCTCTGTGGATAGAAATACTTTACAGTGCCCTCCGCATGGGCTATTAAATCTTTATTTATGGAGAAAGCCACCAACAGAATGACTGCATTTGTTTCTACGGTACTTTTCTTTTTTAAGTTACATCAGAGATGTTGACTAAAGGCTGTGAGAAGCCGTGCTTCCAATTAACAAGTTCAAAAAGTTTACTTTTTAAAAGGCTTTTCTTTTCTCTCTTATTGATTATGAATCAACATTTCAGTCTTATATTAGTCTAGTGTGGCCCGATGCAACTCACATTTAAAACTTTAATTCTGGATCGGTAAATACAGTACATATTTCCAATCTCTTTATAATCTTAAGTATTAATAAAAATAGTTCAGAAGCATTAGTGCAATACACATATTACCAGATTTCTGCCAGTGTCACTCTACCAAAGTCAATGGTGTTAGGCTGACATACTGATGGAATAATAGAAGGGAGAATCAGACTCCACATGTATAAAACTAATATTAATGGAATCTTATGGCTGCGATTTTTAGAGCACAAGTATAAGGAAATGTAATTAGGATCTAATTATACCATCAGAAAATATTTGTTTGAACCAATTTACACAACGTATAGAAGAAAGGTATGTACTGGAGACATACTGTGAATGTTTTTCTTGCATATGGGGCTCCAGGCATCAAGAGTTCATCAGAAGTCACTGGTCTCTTTAATACTGCAAAGACATACAAAGGAGTATTAAATACAAACCTTTCTGAAGAAACTTTCATAAAGAACTGTTCTGGGATACAATGTCTTCTCCCTCTTACTTTATTTATAGGGCTTAATGTGTTGTGACCTTAGTGCATGGCTTTGTACTGCAAGATGTTTTTCAGGAAAATTCAACATGTTCTGTTGGCTAACAGGTCACTGCTCAGTAATTCAGGTTCAACCGATCACAATTAGATAAATCATCTTCACTGGTGTCCTTCACAGTGTTCCCCTAAATTATGCCTTCCGGGGATAATTACTATCAAATATAGTATAATCCTTATTACCTGAAGGGAGCATGGAGGGACTGAGATACTATGGTGACAGGCATCCTAACTCTTTCTCAGACAGAGAGACAGATTAGATAATCTATGCTACAGCAAACAATATTATTAGTATTTGTGCAGTCATTTACTCCTGGGTAAAGTGTGTGTAAATGCTACAAAATCAGAACTGTAGCACTTTACAGCCACATTGTACAGGTGTAAATGACTGCACCAAGTGCAAGGCAATGAATACACAGGCCCTCTATTAATTACATTTGGCTTCCTCTGTTTTTTTAATTATAATTATGTTTGCTTCTTGTTTTCAGCGATAAACTATTTCTGATGACATCTGATTTTCTTATATCATGGAAGCAAGCGGGAATTTTTCAGGGATAACATTCTAGCATACCTGTAAGTGTCCTAAAATGCCATATATGGAAAAAAAAGAATTCAGGAAGATATACTAATAAAAAAAATTTCTTTCACTAGGATATTGACAAAATTATCTTAAGAGTTAAACTTTGCAGACTCTGCCAGTACTATCATTCTATCTTTTTGAGATCAAAGCCAGGTCAACTTTCTCCTTTTTAGTTATCAACTCTTACCTTTGTACTGCAAGATGTTTTTCAAGAAAATTCAACATGTTCTGTTGGCTAACATGTCACTACTCAGTAATTCAGGTTCAACTGATCACAATTAGATAAATCATCTTCACTGGTGTCCTTCACAGTGTTCCCCTAAATTATGCCTTCAGGAATAGTTTCTTTTTCCCTTGTGACTGGGCAACCTGTGCCCCAGATTTCCTTTAAGTTTTCACTTCTCATGAAATACAGCAGAACGCATCCAAGAACTGGTTTAGGTCCAGTTTATTAATGTTTTTCTCACCTGATCATTCTGGTTCTGCTATTGAGAAACTTTCTAAAAAAACTCATTCCCGTTTAGCAGAGGATTACTTGGAGTATGGGAAAAGCTGGTAGATCCCAGCTCCCTGATCCTTATTTGAGACTCAAAAATAAATCTGTTAAACTGTTCTGAAGGTAGAATTTACGTCTAAGTGATTATTCATTTTAAACAGAAACACTGTGTAAGGAAGGTGTCAATATATTCTTTTTCTACCAAGACTTTATAATCGGCTGTCTTAAGATATCCTTGTTCTCACCACTCACGTGCCATACATAACCAGAGCCATAAATGAATGGAAATAGTGGGTATACTTAAGATAATGCATACGTTTATCAACAACAACAAAAATGCCAGCCTGCTTGTCACAGTAATATTTCCAGGGTAGAATGAATGGTTTAACGGGAGCAAAAGTTCACCATTTAGAATTCACCATCAAAGAATCTCTGGAGAGAATACCCGACAGGTGCACCTCAAAAAGATTACATTGTGGCATCCACAAACTGGGACATACAGACAGCAAGATGGAGATGAGTGGTAGACAGCAGTTGACTTTGAGTGTGCGATGAACAAGAATGAATGTTATTCACAAAGACGACATCCTCCACGGGGAACACTAGCGCTACTGAATTATGGCTCTAGTCATGTGACCAAACTGAACCCACCAAGTTCTTTTAATGTAGGACTTTACTGAAAACTCCAAGCCAAGGCAAAAGACAGGCTGTGCAATGCTCTGATGCAGTGGTCTCAAACTTTTTTTTTGCGAACCACTTAAAAATTGCTGAGGTTTCTCAGCGGAACACTTAACTGAGTTTTCCAAATGTTGTTTGTATCATTAGCTAACTATTGTAAAGTGCCTTGGATAAAAGCGCTATATAAAAAAACCCTTAATAATAATTAACTTTCTTTTGTTTTACAAATAAAAGCACACAACTCATATTTTAATATCAGTAGTCTTACCTTTCTAATGTGACGGATGTGCCCTCTCTCTCGAGACGCGGCAGCCCCTGAGCTGGGGCTGGGAAGGAGGGGGTTCTCTCCCCTGCCACAGCAGCCACATAGTTGGGGCTGAGAAGGAGGGGGTCTCTCTCTCTCTCTCTCTCTCTCCTGCCACGGCAGCTCCCGAGCTGGGGCTGGGAAGGAGGGAGATCGCTCCCTGTCTCCCCCGCCACAGCAGCCACAGCGCTAAGGCTGGGAAGGAGGGCCATCTCTCCCTGGCAGCCGCAGCCCTGGAGCTGGGGAAAGTCGCCTCTTTCCCTGGCTGCCGCAACCCTGCCCATCCCAAATTCCTGCCAACCCTCTTCTCGCCCCACTGCCCCCTCCCACCTACCGCTATTCCCCCCCAGGCCACCACCTCACCTTACATGTGCGTCTTCTCCAGGGTCCAGGCACCTAAATAGCAGGTCGCCTGCGCGGCTCCACTAATTAGGTGGGTCGCCCTTCATTCTCTTGTGTTCAGCCGCCCAGGTGCGCATCTTAGAGGGAACTATACGCGGACTACCTGAATGAAGCTCACGGACCACTGGTGGTCCGTGGACCACAGTTTGAGAACCTCTGCTCTAACAGCCAGGAAAAAAAAATTACCACTCTTTGTATCTCTACTACTTATACTGAGTATACTGAGTAAAGTTCACCCCTCTCCTGCACAGAACCTGAATAAACAGTCCATGATTTGAACAGCAGCCACTGGCCTCTTTGGGCCCTCTATCAGTAACTTCAAGTCTGAATAGCCCCACTGAAGTCCATGCTTACACATAGCCACTGGCCCCTTCCCCAGCCTGCTCCAACACCCTACTCCCCCTCCATTCAGAACCGCTTTCTGTATCACACTGAGGAGGCAGCCCCATGTTCTACTCTCCCTTTTAAAGGGCTACCTCAGTGAAACCATGGCCTTTTGTGGCCATGAATAAGGAGTGAATAATAATCTCCTAAAGTTCCATTAACATTTTGATTTTCAGCCAGCCATGTGTACTTCTGAATCCAGAACATGCAGGCCATAATAATATCAAGTTGGAAAAAGTTAATGGTAATAAGGAGAGCAAGAAATTCTCCTTTGGCCTTCAAGACTCCCTCTGGGGCAAAGAAAGCGGCTGAAAGAATATGTTTCCTGATCTACTTTTTCCTTTCATAAAAATACAAGTGCAAACAATTTTAACTTAGCCGTGGATGAATGAATGGCTGACCTTCCATTTGTGGTCAGACCGAGGAAATCATTTTAAAAAGAAAATAAACTTGAACCTTGACTGCCTTTAAATTCTTACACAGAGCAGTGTAAAATCTAAACTAATTTAAGGGTTTAAATTGTCCCTAACATCTTCAAAGCTACATTTGCTACGCTTGCTCTGGCCTATGTTATTTACATAATAACTCGGGTAGTTACCAAAGCCTAAGTTTTCTTCTCACCCGTTCAATGCCAGCAAAGTCACACCTGTGTAACTGAGAAGAATTTATGTTTGGCAACTGATATGGCAATCTGGAGGTAAGAGTGGATATAAGGCTGGGCGTCTTTCTAAACAGATATGCTCTAGCTCAAACAAAGTTATGGGTTTGATGCAGATATTACTGGGTGAGGTTCTCTGGCCCATGTTATGCAGGAGGCCAAACTAAATAATCATAAAGATTTTTGACTAGCCACAAAATCTGTGAATCTATCTATCTTTAAAATATGCCTCAAAAGACAAACTTAGATAAAGAAATACAAACAGTCACTCATTTACCCTCACTCTCTTTAGAGAGAGCTGCATGCTCTCTAATCTGTACCAATTCCATCTGCTTACCAGATTTTGGGTTGCATAATACTGGGGGACTGCTACTGAGGGTAGGGCTGCTGCTGAAGTAACCGCTACTGCCACAACTGCTCATGCTACTCCTTCTTACTGCTGATACGATCTTTATCTCCTTGGTGGGACTCACTGTGCAAAGAAGACAGAAAATACAGAGAGAAAGGGAAATTGTCTTGATTCTTTTGGCACATTTCCCCTGCTTTGTTTAAAATAACAACATCAGAACATGCTTTCATTTATAATAGTGTAATCATACTATCACACTCTGCCTAGTCAGAATGCTCACCTATGTGCTGCAGGAATTAGGGAGACCAGATGTCCCGATTTTATAGGGACAGTCCCGATTTTTGGGTCTTTTTCTTAGATAAGTTCCTATTCCCCCCACCCCCGTCCAGATTTTTCACATTTGCTGTCTGGTCACCCTAGCAGGAATACTTGAATTGTACATGAAGATTATATTTTTACTCTGATATGTTGGATTACCACATGAATCATTTTAGCTAATTTAATTCTCTGTAATGCTTCCATCACTGTGATTTCTAGGTGCCAATGCAATAGAGTGAAATAGGCATTTTAATAAGCAGAATATTTTCTGCAGTTATCCCCTGCTTTCTTCCTATTTTCATCCTGCTTCCTAATGTGTATTGTAGTATATTACTTGTTCAGGTATTCTTTCCCCCCAAACTACAATGTACAGTTTATGCCAAAACACTTTTGCTTTTAAAAATCTTTTTAGCAAGTTTAAAAAAAAGAAAAACATCCAAGCTGCTTGATTTCTGCCTGTGGAAAAATGTAAACCTGAAATCCTTTATTTATACAAGAGCAAACAAACAACCCAGGCAGCTAATTTTCTGAAAAGCCAACCAGGCAGAAGAACCTGTTTACTGGATATGATATTTATACATGGGTGATGCAGTGAGCACTTCTCTTCAACTCAATCAGCCTTATGCTAAAGTGAAGGGGGTCAAGCTTTAGGAATCACACATCTTCAAGGAAAAGTTAAACAATGGAGAAGTTAAAGGCACAGAACCAAGGAGTCACCTGACTGAAAACTGGTGTGCTTTCTGTTGTCATGGTTCTGCTTGCGCAGGCAAAAGGGACTGTCGTGACTTTCTGGCATCAAACGGGATTTCTCAGGGAGCAACTCCATCAGCCTCCGTCGCCGGCGGAAATTCATTCTGAACTGGTACAGCAGGTTGCTATCCATAAAATGGTGCTTGTTGGACACTGCGGAGAGAAAAAGGAGTAAAAACTCCCTGTCTGGCAGACCACAAAGTAGGGAGCAAATAGTATACATGAGGTTGCCGTTTACATGCTTGCATGCTCCTTGGTGACAGCAGCACTCTAAAGGTATGTCTACACTCCCAGTGAGGGTGTGATTGTAGCACAGATGGCTATAACTGTGCTAACAATAATCTAATGAACATGAATAACAATAGCATTGTGTGGACATGGTGGCAAAGGCTTCAGTGCAGGCTAGTTGCCTGATTATGTACCCAGGCTTCTTATGGGCTAGTGCTTGGGTGGCTAGCTTGGGCTGAAGCCTGTGCCACCACATTTACACTACTGTTGTTATCTATGCTAGCTAGATTAAAGGTATGCCTACCCATGCTACAATCTCATCTTCGCTTGCAGGGTGGACCTGCCCTACTTGCTCCTGATCTGTTAACTCACCAGGAGTAGCAGGGTCATTAACAGCAGTGAGGTACCAGGATAGGATTGCCATGTACCCAGCAAAAAATGTTCTATACAATAAAAAAAGTCTTATTACATAGGCTTTGACATGAAAGCAAATCCCAAGTCCAACTGGAGCCAAAGGAAGAATTTAGAAAGTACTTGCTGCTTGCAGCACAATCAGAATATCTGCATGTTCACTGTCAACACAGGAACTGCTGTGTGCCACCGCTTAAGAGCTATGGACTGAAAAATGCACCACTGAGAATAAGTTTCAATGCCAGGACCCAGAGATACTGGGACTCATTTGGGACTGATCCCACTGGGCCTTTTGATTCTATCTTAATTTAGGTCTTCTGATCATTTCCCATGGAAATCATTTCTTTAGATCACTATTTCTCACCTAAGACCTAGTTTCAAGATTTGTCTAGTTTGTGAATTATATATTTGCTCTGATATTACTATTCCTAATAATCTTGGTGCATCCGATGAGGTGAGCTGTAGCTCATGAAAGCTTATGCTCAAATAAATTGGTTAGTCTCTAAGGTGCCACAAGTCCTCCTTTTCTTTTTGCGAATACAGACTAACACGGCTGCTACTCTGAAACCTAATAACCTTGGACACACAGTTTAGTGTTATATATTATCCCCATTAAATTCTTCTAGAGCTGTATTATTTTATACAGCATTCATAAATTCTGCCATTAATCTTGGCATAATATACACATGATAACCTTCTAAAAAAAAAAAAAGCAGCAATTTACAGATAAAAATCCAGAATTCCATTTCTCATTTGCTCCTCCAGAAAGAATATGCATTACAGGTGTGACAAAAAGGGGCAATCTCCTATAATAACCTGGATAAAACTTTTTGAATTAAATTAAACCTTATGACTCGAGCCCTAGCAAATTCACGGCCATGAAAAATGTGTCATGGACCGTGAAATCTGGTTTCCGCCTTGAAATCTGGTCTTTTGTGTATTTTTACCCTATACTATACACAGATGTGGATTACGGTTTTCTGAGACCCTGGGTCAGAGCAAGTGGGGGCCTCTCCCCACCCCAACCACCTGCAGTTCCCCCCGCTTGCCTCAGTGCTCCTGCAGAGGAAATGGGGTCAGGGCATGGAGGCTTGCCCCTCCCTGCCCACCCACTCCCTGGCAGGAGCACTGGATGGGTGGAGAGGGGCAAGTCCCCACACCCCGACTCTACTCCCCAACTCCACTCCCCGGCAGGAGTGCTGGGCGGGTGGAGCGGGGCACACCCCCACACCCCCGGAGTGCCGGGTGGACTGGGCCGGGGTGCAGGGGTGCCCATTTTTCTGGGCCCCCCAATTGGCAGGGATCCCTGGGCATGGACCCCATTGGCCCAGCGACTAATCCGCCACTGACTATACAGATTTCAAAGGGGAGACCAGCATTTCTCAAACTGGAGGTTCCAACCCAAAAGGGGGTTGTGGGGAGGGGGGCTGTCACAAAGTCATTGTAGGGTGTCACAGTATTGCCACCCTTACTTCTGCACTGCCTTCAGAGCTGGGTGGGCAGAGTGTGGCGGCTGCTGAGTGAGGGCCCAGCTCTGCAGGCAGCAGCACAGAAGTATGGGTGGCAAATACCACACCAGGCCACCCTTACTTCTGAGCTGCTACTGGTGATGTGCTGCCTTCAGAGCCTGGCTCCTGACTAGCAGCCGCTGCTCTCCGGCTGCCCAACTCTGAATACAGCACCACCGCCAACAGCAGCGCATAAGTAAGTGTAGTAATACCCTGACCCTCTACAATAACCCTGTGAATCCCACACAGCCTCTTTTTGGGTCAGGACCCCTACAGTTAGAGCACCATGACATTTCAGATTTAAATATCTGAAATCATGACATTTACAATTTTTAAAATCCTCTTGAACGTAAAATTGACCAGAAATGGACTGTGAATTTGGTAGGGCCCTACTTATGACCTTAAGTTTGAATACCTTTGGGGTCCACCATATTGAAAATGTAATTGTTTATGTGTTATTGTGGAGCTGTACATAACTTTTCTAGGAGAGAATTAATGCAATCTCCGGAAAGCATCATAACATTCAAAAGGACAATAAATTCTCACCTCTGAAGCCAACCTTTTGAAGCTATGCCCTAGGGAGAGAACCTGATTGTCTACTGATTGTCTGCTCCTGGAAACTCCAAATCAAAGAACCCCTAACTTATACAGAAGGCACTAAACTTTTCACGAGTGTTCTTGTTCTAGGCAAAAATGGGTTATGAACTTGAAATCACCAGAAAACTCTTGTGTGGGGTTTTTAAGGACTGCTCACATGCCAGAACCACTGTTCATGTGAGGTCGTCTCTGGTAATCTTATTAGCCCATGTGTAGGTTCTTTTATTGTTTTTCATGTTTTCCGTGTAATGCTTTTACCTTACAAATACAATGTACTTGCTCAGAAAGAGCTGTGTGTTGACTTTTAACTGTTGACAATTTCTCTGTTATTTAGTCTCTGAAGAGAAAGCAAAGTGCAGAGGCTGGCCATTTTGGCAGTCTGTTCTGCTGGGTGATTTCACAATATAGTCAGAGAGCTGTGCAGCCTGGAGATAACAGGTCAGAAGAGAGAGAGAGACGCATGTCTTCACTCAAATAAGCCAATGGCTGGAGAGTCTGCCCTTGCTGGATCACAGAAAGGGAACAAAGGTCAGTTGCCCTGAATTGTGACAACAGGTAAGTAAAATCATTTAGCACTATCAGACCATAAACAGAAAGGATTGACCCATGGAGCCCAGCCGTCCAACACCCAATTCCCTGCTCTGTTCCCCAAGCTGACGCTCTTCTTACTACCCATATCCTGCCCTGTTTCTATCTACATAGGTACTTACATTGTCCTCATCACTGGTATTATATGAGAATGAATGATGCCAGCCCTGTCTCCTTGTTTGTCTGCCTCTCTCACAAAAGTCTGGGCTCTCTTCCACTCCATCTCTAAGCATGGGAGGCCCTGCCTATGTTAGTGTGCAAGGCCACTGCCTTCTCATTCAAATCCCTCCTCAAGACACATTTCTACAAAGATAAGATGCCGACAGGAAGTTACACAACCAGTATCAGGCAGGTAGAGTGGCAACTGGGGGAAGAGAACACAGCCAGAGGCCGCAACAGCCACGACCATGCTATGTTGGAAAAACCTCTCCTTTGAGTGTCACAGAAGCAAAGGAATCAGTGACAGCATGGCTCAATTGGAGCTCTCCATTACATTAAGGGAGGGGAATCCTCATAGACTTGCTTCCTCCAGAGGAATCCGGCTGATGGCGGTCAAACTTATACTGTTTATGTTTTCTAACAGCCATAAGCAGGAAAGTATTGTAATGGAACAGATCAACACCTCACAATGAGTAACAGTTGAATAAATAAGTAGGAACAAAGTCACGTATCCAGTGAGGAACTAGGAACAAGCAAGCTGCAACAGCCTTTGGAACTGTATTGTGCACATCATGCATACCACTATTCCCACCTCCTGCAGGTCATCTCAGAGTTAAGGGCATTTTGCTGAAGTGCCTCACCCTAGTTCGATGGTGCTTTGCAACACTGCAATTTGTCTTCACTGCTAAAAATGGTGTGTTTTTTGCTTCAGGGAAACGAAGGCTATGTCTACACTATGCAGCTTTTACGCAGCCACTACAGCCATGCCGCTAAAAGGCGTGCAGCGTAGCCACTGTTTGTCAGCAGGAGAGAGCTCTCTTGTGGACAAAAAATTTCCACCCAGAACGAGCAGCGTTACCATTGTCAGCAGGAGAGCGCTCCTGCCGACAAAGCGCTGTTCACACCAGCGCTTGTCATCAGCGAAACTTTTGTCTTTCAGTGTGTGTGTGTGTGTTTTTTTTATCACCTCTGAATGACAAAAGTTTTATCTTTCACTTGCCAGTGTAGACAAAGCCTAACACACATGAGCTATCCCAAGGTAAAAACACAATGAAGATAAGGCACTTTAAATTTAACACTAAGTAAACCTGTCATGGTCAATCCCTGGTAGGGGTATCCAGCGGTTTACTGTGTCTTCATTGTGTTTGTACCTCAGGATAGCTCATCTGTGCTTGTCACCCCAAGATGAAAATGCTCTTTTAGCACTGAAAACAAAGCCTTAGAGAAAACTAATACCGTTTCTCATGAATAAACAGAAAGGTCATGCCAATCAGCCAAAACTGTGATGTTCCAAGGGCTGACTAATGAACCAGCCTGCTTTGCTCCTTGCTGTTTATTTTTTGAAGTGCCAGAAGCACACAGCATTGTTTCAGTGCTTTAGAAAAGCCAGTGTCACTCAGCTTTATTGTGCTTCGTGTAAGTGCTGAATTTGTAGGCTCTCCAAGCCAACACCCCAAGGTCTTTGTTAAGATGAGGATTTTACATTTTGGAGGCAATTCAATTCCTGGTTGTAAGACTCTAATTACACCACTAATGATGGTGTCCCATTCTGCTGAGCTCATCGTTTTGGATATTCTCATTTAATAAGAACAAAATAGAGTTTAGGAATTATCCCCATTTTTAAAATGAGACAGAGAGGTTTGGAGTCTTGTCCATAATGAC